ATATATATATATATATATATATAGATATATATATATATATATATTTATTAGTAAATTATCTCTCTAATTTCTAATTTAACTTATTGCAAGTGAAACTGGTAAAGAGAATACAGCCTCCATTGTCCAGAAGCATGTTAGGCTTCTTTCTCCTAAGATGGTTTATTTCCATCTCTTCAATTTCACTGATACCTAAAATGTTCAGCATGTAATAGGAAACCTGAAAGGCTAGTTGATGGGCAGTATAGAGTTTTCCACATAGAAGCTTGACAAGCCGGGGCAATGGCTACTTATCTGTCCCCTATTTGCCAATGATAGCTTCTCCCCAGATGACTATGAACTCCGAAGTTTACATTTAGCTTTTTGTATGTCCATTGGGTCCGTGAAGTATAAAGCAGGACTCATCAAACTGATTTAGCTCCTCAAGAAGAAACAGCATGTCAATCCCGCCTGAGATTATTTGTGAAGAAAATGTGCTCTAGGAAAAAAGGTCCTGTAAGTTTTAGGATTAAAAGAACAAAATTTACCAGACTACTAGGAGGAAGAGTAATTACCCATCCCAGAATGGAAGTATAGTCACAGCTTGTCCAGGCTGCATGTGGTAGGGTTTGCTTCTCACATATATACAATGTACAGGCTGCTGTATCATCATGGCATGAGACAACTGACACAACAAACATTATCATTGTTTTAGATTCTGGAAGGTTCAAGATAGGCAGTTTTAGCATCACATGGCCATCCACTTTCTGGCTCATAGAAGAATATTCCTCCTAGCTGTGCCAGACTTGTCCTTCAGCGGTGGAGGGTCAGAGGGCATTCTCAGAACTCATTCATAAGAACACCAATTCCGTTCACAAAGATTGCACTCTCATAACCCAGTCACCTCCAAGAGCCCTTACTTTATAACACTGTCAACTCAGAGTTAAGATTGCAGCATAGGAATTTGGAGGAGAAACATCAAGATCATCACTGACAGAGACATAATATGTATATAAAATGTACACACAAGTTTCCATTTCCAGCCTGACCCTAGAGATCCATGGTCACAGGTCTTTCTGCATTTTTGACAAATTATTTACATTGTACATTGAGTAGCCTTCATTCTATGAAACAGATAGTGTTACATGGATTGTGAAGGGGTACATACTAGTAAAACAAAGCCTTCTACACAGGCTCTGAAAGTGGGCTGGACACACATGGGGAAATGGGCTTTTCTAAGGATTTTCCATGCTTTTGGGGTGAAAGTCAAGACAGATTTGAGTGCCCCTGAAAACTCAGATTTTGTCATTCTTTTTAGATTCTTCTTTGGTAAAAAAAAAAAAAAGTAAATATTTGTCTCTACCTAATAAAATCAAATCTGTCAAAAATAACAATTAAAAATAAATAAAAATGTCATTGGACATTGTCTTTCTATCGTTTTGCCATAACATTTTTAAAGATAACAGTAAATATTAGATTTGATGCAAGGGATCAAGAAATTTTTTTTGGCCTGGATCTTCATCATTTGTTTGAAAACATTCATCTAACTAGCCAAAATCTTTTAGGGGAAGACTCAGGGTTGTTTTAGTGTTCATAAAAAGGAAATGTTTAGCTATTTGATATTTCATAATTATTCCATATTGCCATACTGTTCATTAAATCCCCTAGTGAAAATTATTGAGAGAGTAGAACCAAGCCTACCATATGGTTCTGAGATAAAAGTACATATGAAGTTTTCTTCCTTTTGCAAGTATATAGGAATAGTTACTTAAAGCATTTGGGAAGCAGAGGAGGCTGATCTCTGTGAGTTCAAGTTCAACCTAGTCTATTCTACAAGTCCCAGGATCCTGTCTCAAAAACAAAACAAACAAACAAAAAATAAAACCCAACCATCCAAACAACAACAACAACAAAAAACTATGGCAGAGCACAGGTCTGGAATAAAACATTAACTAAGACCATCAGAGGAAAAGGCAGGATGAATTTGTCAGGAATGATGGATGTGGTGGAAAGCAGCCTGAGGCATGCTGGTTTAACACTTTACTTTCTCTTTGGTATGAGTAGTTTCAGGCTAGCTGACAAGACACTTGGCCAACTTTGCTCACTCAATGGCCAGGGCAGGAGGGAGCTTCACTCTTGTGTTTGCTCCTGTGATCCCCACTGCAGCAGAAAGGATGTTTATTAAAACAAGTAGTACCTTACTCTGCTGGCATTTCTGTAGCCAGGGCAAGTCCTGTGTCCACGCCAGCCTTCAGCGTGTGCACATTCAGTTATCCCTACCCAGTGCTAGAAAGGCAGGACAGGGACTGTCAGGAGCCTCCAGTCATAAATCCAGTGATCGATGTGTGAACTTTTTTTTAGATCAGTCCAATGACACAACAGAATATAGTTCATTCCTTGTTATCACCACTTCATATTTTATAAGAATCAAATTATTCCATATTCTTATTTTATAAAATCATAGCTTAATTTTACTGAGGACATGCTGTATACCAGATGCAGTAATTTGGCTGTATCATATTATTGCCTTGGTGTTTTTATAAACTTCATTTTAAAAGAAGGAAAGAAGAGACTGAAAGAACCACAATCAAGCTATATAAACCAGAATTTCTTCCATTTGTCTTAGCATTCTTTATATATTTTTTATATTTTATATTTATATATTTTATATTTATATATTTATATAAATAAAAAATAAGGCAGCAATGACACTTATCATACAACACAAGAAAAAAAGAGGAAGAGTATATTTTAGGTGAGATAAAAAAAACTAGCATATTATTAGGGTGATAACACAGGTCAACTTGTCAATACTCAGTCTTAGGAGGTGTAGGTGGGTAAATGGTAAGAAATGCTGGAAGGATTCATGCTCCTTGAAGATGCAGCCACCAGTAAGTTGCCCTTGTTCAAGAAATAACTCCCCCACCCATACTTATGCAACTCTAGTTAAATGCTATAGAGCACAGCAAAAAAGATATGAACATAGTGAAATGATTGCTGGAAACAGGAGGGATTCAGAAGGAGAGAGGTAGGTGAGAGAACAATGGGGAAAGATATGATCAAAGTATATTATGTATGCATGGAATTGTGAAAGAATAAAAAACTTATCTAAAAATTGACCTCACTTGAACCTAGGCCTAGACTGTCTTGAAATGTAGAACTATATTTTATTCACCTTTACACCCCCAGCTCCTATCACAGCTATTAGTATATTACAGTTACCCAGCAAATATTGGCTTCACATTTGAATACATCAGTAATGTCTTGCTTATGAGATTTCTTTCCAAGTGAAGCCTGAATACTGTGTTGTCAGTCTTTTGTTTTATGTTTTTTAATTTTTTTAAAAGAACTATGGGTACAATTTTATGGGAATACAAAAGAGGGCATAAGTAATAACCAGATGTATTTTACAGGTTCAATAATTTTGATGTGGCTCCCTCCTTCTTTTGCAAAAATGACCACCTAGAGGTTTTTGATGGTCCTAGCATTGGAAATCGGTCTCTTGGAACGTTCTGTGGTTCCAGAATTCCACAAAATATTAAGAGCACCAATAACAGCCTGACCCTGCTGTTCAAGACAGATTCTTCTCAAACTGCAAGAGGTTGGGAAATGTATTTCTGGGAGACATTAGGTGAGCATTTGAGACATGAAACTCTTTTTCTTGTTATTCCTACTTTTTTGCTTTATCTAATCCCCTCCTGCAGCTAATTCCAGATTATTTTTACTTAAACATAGAGGAAGCCCAAATGGAAGGCTCATTGACTATGGTTTCTTTATTACTAGAGTGGTAGAGTCTTGAGAATGTATGTAATAATTTTATGACTGTAAAAAAGGAATGCTTCAATAGCCCAACAACCTAAGGAAGGAAAGAGGAACTTAGGATAGAAGTCCAGATGGCCAAGGCTCTAACTAGCACAGTGGGAATGGAGGTAAAGAAAGAATTGAAGTACCAAAGGTCTTTAGAAGGATAAATACCTCAGAAATGTAGCATTTGGAGCATGCTGGGACATTACAAGGGAATGCAAGATGAAGATGTGGCCTTAAGGGCAAGTTGTTGGACGATGTTATCTTTGTCTACTCAGGTGGTACCTAAGTCTATTCTTAGTACAGGAAGAACACTGTATTTAGTTTGCCAGATTTGGAGCTGGTGGGCCTGTCATGTACATAAGTAGAGATATCTAAGAGATGGTTGAAAAAACATTTGGCCCAGATAGGGTGGTCTCAGAGTCATTGTGAGATGGCAGGATGGCTAAGTATGAGGATAAAATGAAAAGCTCAGTTTATTGCCACTGCACATGAAAGATAATTATTATCTGTCTGCGTGAGCCCAGGAATGTCAGTCATTTAAAATAATCAGCTCTCTTTTTATACTAATTGTGTAAGTGGTGTAATTTTTTTATTTGACTCTGAGAAGTATTTTGATTTTCCCTTGAATATTGCTGTGATTAATGTTCTGAGATCTAACAGGTCTTCAAACAAATCCCATTCTCTGAGAAGATTCAGAAAGATAGGAGGACTTTGTCACAATAAATCATTTAGGCTCTTTTTTTCCAAGGTTTTCTCTTTGCCCATGGCCTGATTCACCACCACCTCTATGGCATGAAAACAGAGAATACTTTAAACTACATTTTCTATGTCATGCTTTTCTGAATTTATTTTTAAAAATTATTTTATTTATTAATGTGTGTGCCTGTATGCATGTGTTTGTATGAGTATATATGCACATGCATGTGCTGATGTTCTCAGAGGCCAGACAAAGGTACTTGGAGCTGCAGTTATGGGTATCTGTGAGCTGCACCATGTGGATGCTGGCATCCAAACTCTGTGTCTCAGATTCTTGTGATTGAACAGCACAAGATCTTGACTACAGAGCCATCTCTGCAGCCCCATTAACGCTTTCCTGGAGGGAAGTTATCAGAATGACGTTGATGTTTCTTAAGCTCCTCATAAACGGCAGACATGGTGACAGTTGCATGAGAAAGGTGCTTTGTCACTTACCCATTTCAGCTGTCACGAGAATGACTTGAAAAAAAGTCTCACAGGACTCAGAGTGTAGCCTTATTAGATTGGCATAGGGGAAGCGATATGTAAAAACACTGAAGGCTATTTGAAAAGAAAAAGCCACTTTCCTTTGGGTACTTTAACTTTGCACCAAGGATCTCATGTATTGGGCTGCCATTGTACTTCATGTGAAAAATTTTTCTACTTTCCTATCTGTATAAATGCCATTGTCCACTTGAAGCCATCCAGGAAACAATTAATTATTAATTGTACTTTTCAGTGAGAACTTGGGTATTACAAGTTTTAATTGGGTCTTACAAAGCTTTGTAGCTCACACTAAGTGTATTGGCCAGTCTAAATAACTTAGAGCTTTGTTTGTTTGTTTGGTTTTGTGGTGAGGAAAAAGGAGTAACAAATATCATTGCAGTTCTAGAGTTTCTACAATCCTTTCGTTACTGATTCAATAAAAAATAAAAAAAATAAGATCAGCTTGCCTAATAGCATACACCTTTCTCTTTCACCTCATCCATTTAAAACACCCCATCTTTTCTGTAAGGCGACAGCTACTCTCTGGACCAGACTGACTGTTGATTTCCAAGGCTATTGATCTGCCTGGAAAACAACCCCTTTCCTTGGTAAATAACTTATGTAAAGAGGAGACCACTGTAGCCCTTGACATTTCTGTTTAGTTTTATCTCAACTAGATCCCTTAGTACAGCTTTTGCAGTTTTGCTGTTTAGATTCTACAGTTGATCAGTTGATGATAATTTATGCATACCTGCTTTAATTTTCCAAAAATTCAGTAAAACCAGCTTCTGTACTTATGCGACAGTGTAGCATCTCCCTGTGCACTTGCTACATTCGTATTTCTTGTAGATTGAGGGAATCCGGGGGAGCTATCCACAGTGGGTAATTAGTAAATAGATGGTGAAATTGAGACTCCTTTCTTTTTCGGAATTGTTGTTCAAGTGTGAGGGTAGGTGAAGGCAAAGCCAGCACCAGGAACTGGCATCTAACCATGACATAAAATTTTCTCGTATTTCCCGTGAGTGTCAATACAGCATGGGTAACTGATGGTGAAAGGAGGGGAGTCAGAGAAATGATTGTGCTGAGCATCCAGGACCCAGGAAAATGAAATTATCTAAAAAGATGAGCATTTTTCTGGACCAAGTGCTCATCCTTTATCAGCCCACCAATGGCTCTGAAATCCCACCCTTTCTGTGGCCTTGGGTGATGTGTGTCAGCTCCACAGGACAGAACTGACATTGAAAACACTCTGCTTTTCCCTAGTAACTTACTGATAGCTTTAGTTTTAGCTTCTCCTTTGCCAGTAGGGCTTACCTCAGCTGTGGCTAACTTACACGTCATAAAAATGAAACACTTCATCTTTAAACACGTGTTTTTACAGCTCATGATCTCCATTTCTTACTATACTGACCTCATACCCAAGGGTCTCATGGAGTCTTTCATGACTACTCATTATGTCACACACAGATCTTCTAGGTACAGAGCTAGGTGTGTATGTTCAGTACCATTGCCATTTCCTTTTTCTCCTCTCTTTTCTTGAGCAGTTTGTGTGAATGTGTGTGTGGTGTACAGGTATGATATATATCCACATATGTGTTCATATGGAGGCCCAAGATTGAGGCAGGACTGTGCTTCAGTAGCTCTTTACCTTTTCCATTGAGACAGGGTCTCTCAATTGGCTCATAGCTTACCAGTGTAGCTAGTATAGCTAGCCAGCTTGTTTTAGACTCAGTCTTCCCAAGGGCTGTGATTGCAGGCAGGCCACCTTGTCAGCCCAGCAGCTATATGTAATTAGGTTCCAGCTCCAGGCCCCATGCTTGCATAGCAAGCACTTTTATCTACTCAGCCATCATCCTAGCTCTCACTTTTACCCTCTAAATGCACAATACTAAACTTGGCCCCAAAAGGTTTTGGGGACATAGGAATCAATGAATAGCCCCTGAAACAATTTGGGAGTTCTGGCAGTACAAGGAGAGAAATCCCTGTCCCTAGGGGAAAAAAAAAAAAAAAAAAAAAAACTACATCAGGGACTCAATGACCAGAATCACATGTTTAAGCTCCCTGCCTCCTGTTGGTCATAGCAAATATGCCCAGGATCGGAGTCACTCCCTATCTGTCTCTCTTCACCTGGCATATTAGTCATGTGGAGGTGAGTCAGAGAGCATTAAGGGCAAACTCATGGGATGCTGTGAGGGAAAAGCATGAATACAAAAACACATGTGCTGCCAGGACAGAATGAATCACAGGTCAGCAAAGGCAGGAGTGTGGCTAAAGGGGAAGAGCTGTGTGCCTGGCAGGATTCAGGTACCCAGGATGCAGATGACTCATCATACCACTGCCTGTGAAGGAGCTTTAGAGAAACCCTAACCTTCTATGCTCAATTTTTATGTACCAAAGAAGATCAGCTTGAACTATTACTATTTTCTATTTCATAAGAATCAATTAGAGGTAAAGTAGATTAGTTCCTGGAACATACTATAGCTGCCCTAAAGTATGTTTTATAACTTAAGTCAAATTAGAACTTAAATTCTAATTAAATCCTAAGGCTTGTAGAGGCCTCTGACATAAACAAACTTTACTCCATCAATAGTGACTGTGTGAATGAGTTGAAGAATAAATAGGTCAATTATGCCTACTTTGAAATTACATTTATATGTGCCTGATATTATATATTATGCAATATTATATATCATACCTATTTATTCTCACAATTGATTCACAACTGATAGAGTTAAGCTATTTTACAGGGAAGAGAATGGAATCCCTTTCATCCAGTTCTGGAGATACTGGATCTGACTCAATATTGTTGGATCCAATGAGTTTGGTCTCTGGACCTATTATCATATTCTTGGGAAACATCTCTCAAATGTGGGCGAAGTGCAGACAATGGGAGGGGTGGAAATAAGGTGGGGAGATAAAAAAATGGTTGACTTCCAAAGGGGAAATGAAAGCCAGAGGTTGCAGGGAGCCTGGGGCCACAGAAATGATGATCATGGTCTCAGCAAATGGAGGAGACGCTTATATGCCCACTTGAGAATTCCACTTCTAGTTTATATTTTGCCTTCCCAGTTGTGGTGTAAAGTTTAAACTCTGAGAGGCACTCTGAAATTCTTTAGTGTGACAATAAAAGAATGCACTTTCAAACATTCACTGACATTAAAAATATGTGTGTGTGCGTGTGTGTGTGTGTGTGTGTGTGTGTGTGTGTGTGTGTATGTGGGGGGCTCTGAGCAGCTGGACACAGGCTGCCAACAGCCCCGACTTCTAGAAGACAAGTGCAGTCAGATAGCTGGGTTATAAGTTGAATAATTTGATAAATCACTATTCATATGACTCTCAGGGAAGCAAAGGTGGGTTATTACTTGAAAGCAGCCAGGGGATGCTATTTGTCTGGTTTCTTAATGTCATTTGCTTCCTTTTACAAAGCCCAAGAATGAGATGAGCTGAAACTATAAACCCATTTAAAGAAAGCTAGACTAAGCTCATTTCAGCCCCTTGTAAGCCTGCTTGTTTTCACTGTTGATTAGCTGTCCCCTGAGGATAAAGCTAAACACAAGGGTATCTGCAGCTTATTCTTTGGGGACTCACCGAAAAGAGCATTTG